TGTTCTCCAGAATGGTTAAATCAGTTCACAACTCTACCAACAATGCATTAGTGTCTCAATTTTCCCATATCCTCTCCAACATTTGTCATTTTCTTTTTCTGTCATATTAGCCAATCTGATAGGTGGAGTGGTATATCAGAGTTGTTTTAATTTGTATTTCTCTAATCAATACTGAGTTAGAACATTTTTTTAATATGACTATAGATAACTTTGATTACTTCATCTGAAAACTGCATATTCATATCCTTTGACCATTTATCAATTGGGAATATTTTTTATAAATTTGACTCAGTTCTCTACATATTTGAGGAATATTACCTTTATCAGAGAAATTTGCTGTAAAAAAATTTTCACAGTTAAGATTAATGTATATTTCCCTCTATCCTATTTTTCTACTCTTTAGCCTACTCTCTCCTTTCACTCTGTCCATTCTCAAAAGTGTTATGCTTTTGACTACCACCTTCCCCAATCTGCCCTTCTTTCTATCAGCTCCCCCTTTCTTTTATTCCCTTTCCCTCCTACTTTCATGTAGGGTAGATATATGTAAGATAGCTTGTAAGAGAGTACATGTACTCTACCCAACTGAGTATGAATGTTATTCCCTCTTTGAGCCAATTCTGATGAGAGTAAGGTTCATATGTTTCCCACAACTTCCCCATTCTCTCCTCAACTATAAAAGCTCTTTCATGCCTTTTTTATGTGAAAGTATTTACCCTCTCCCATTCCCCTTCTCCCAGAGCATTCCTCTTTCTCATCTCTTAATTTTATTAATCCTTCCCTTATATTCAACTGATACCTGTGCCCTCTGTCTAAATATACTCCTTCTAACTGTCCTAATAAAGGTAAAGTTCTGGGGCAGCTAGGTGGCACATTGGATAGAGCTCCAGTCTTGGAGTCAGGAGGACCTGAGTTCAAATTCAGCCTCTGATACTTACTAGCTGTGTGACCCTGGGCGAGTCACTTAACCCAAATGCCTCACCAAAAAGCCAAAACAACAACAAAAAATGTTTAAGTTCTTATGAGTTACAATTATCATCTTCATATGTAAGAATACAAACAGTTTAACCTTATTGAATCCCTTATGATTTCTCTTTCCTGTTTACCTTTTTCTGCTTCTCTTGAGTTGAAATTTGAAAGTCAGATTTTCTATTCAGCTCTGGTCTTTTCATCAGGGATGTTTGAAAGTCCTCTTTCATTGAATATCCATTTTTCCCCCTAAAGGATTATATTCTGTTTTTCTTGGTTTTAATCCTAGCTCCTTTGCCCTCCAGAATTATCATATCCCAAGCCCTGCCAGAGTCCTTTAATGAAGAAGATGCTAAATTTTATGTTATCCTGACTGCTCCATGTTACATCTTCATGGCTGCTTGAAATATTTTCTCCTTGACTGGGGAGCTCTGGAATTTGGCTGTAATATTCCTGGAAGTTTTCATTTTGAGATCTCTTTTAGGAGGTGATCCATGGCTTGTTTCAGTTTCTATTTTACCCTCTGGTCCTAGGATATCAGGGCAGTTTTCCTTGATACTCTCCTCTATATATTTTCCAGGTCAGTTGTTTTCCCAATGAGACATTTCACATTTTCTTCTTTTTTTTTTCATTCTAATTTTATTGTATTGTTTCTTGATGTCTCCTGGAGTCATTAGTTTCCACTTGCCCAATTCTAATTTTTAAGAAATTATTTTCTTCAGTGAGTTTTTGTACCTTCTTTTCCACATGGCCAATTCTGCTTTTTAAGGTGTTGTTCTCTTAAGTGGATTTTTGTGCCTGTTTTACCATTTGACCTATTCTGGTTTTTAATGTTATTCAGGTTTTTTTGTGCCTTCTTTACCAAGATATTAACTCTGTTTTTCATACTTTTTTGCATTCTTCCCCAGTTTTTCCTCTGCCTCTCATATTTAATTTTTAAAATCCTTTTTGAGCTCTTCAATTCTTTTGGGGCCCAAGACCAATTCACATTTTTATGTGAGGCATTGGATGTAGCAGTTTTTACTTTGATGTCTTCTTCTGAATTTGTTTTTTGCTCTTCCCTATCACCATAGTAACTTTATATGGTCAGTATCTTTTTTTTGTTGTTTGCTCATTTTTCTAGCCTATTTCTTGACCTTTAACTTTATATTAAAGTTGGGCTCTGCTCCCAAGATGGAGGGGGCACTGTCACAAGCTTCAAGTTTTTTGTGTGGCTATTTTCAGAGCCAGTTCTGGAGTTCTGTAAGTTTTCAGTTCTTCCAAGGTGGATTTAAGGAGAGGTGTGTTTACTACTCTCTTGGCCTGTACTCTTTTCTGTGAGTGACTACAAGCACTCTTTCCTGCCCTGGAACTGTGACCAGGGTCCCTGTTTCCCTGTAGCCACAAGCTCTGATGTGCTAATGTTCCTCCAGGCACTGGGATTGTGACCCAAGACTGCAACTCAGATGTGAATATGGGCAATGCAACAGAGTCCTACACCTGGTGCCAACAAAGGGGAGCCCTATAATCTCCTTCTGACCAGTTGTCTGACCCCTTTACCATCTATGGGCTGAGAGCTCCAGAAGCTGCTCATTCAGTTGCCCCAGAGGCTTGCTGTGATCTTGCCAGAGTATTACCTGCACTGGACTGCACTCTGCTCTCACCCTGGTGGGTCAGACTGTTCCTGCTTACTTTCTAAGTTGCCTTGGGCTGGTAAATTGTTTCACTCTGTCCCTTTGTGGGTACTCCCAGCAGCTCCAGAATTCATTTTGAGGTGTTATTAAAAGTTGTTTGGAGGGGAATTTGGGAGACTCAGGCGAGTCCCTGCCTTTTCTCTGCCATCTAGCACCTGTCGTATCTTAAAGAAACTTATTCTAGGCTTCCTAAATATCTCTTGAATCCAGATCGGATTGCAGTTTTACCACTGAGTCACCTGACTGGGATGGGGGACCCTGGGATACATAATTCTTTATCCCCAATTCACAGAAGAGAACTTTGGTTCTTGGTGTGGTCAATATAAGAAGGCATTATCAAAGGCACACTGAGAAGAGACCTTAAATCTCATTTAGTCTAGCCTCTTTTCAAATGTCACAATCTCCTCTACATCCTTAATAAATAGTCTTACTTATGGGTCCTTGCTTGATCCCCTTAAATGCTCATTATTTCACAAAGCATTCTGGTCCATTGTAGACAGCTTAAATTATTGGAAGACTTCTCTTTATAATGAGCTAAAATCTGCTTCCTTAAGACATCTACACCTTGGTCCTAGTTTTTCCCCCTCTGGAATTATATAGAATAATTCTCCTTATGATGTAGCTCTTCAAAGATTTGAAGATGGCTATTAGTTCCCTTTCTCCAACTGTTACATGTCACATGACACTCAGAACCTCTCACTATTCTGTTCATTCTCCTGAATGTATTCTATTTCATCACTGTTCTCTTAAAATGTGTCACCCAAAATTCAGTAGTCTAGTTTTTTAATCTGGGCACAGAGTTCAATGCTGCATTACAGGAGAGCAGCATCCCAGAGGCAGGCGTTGTCACAGGAGTCAGTAGGCTATCACAGAAAGAGCCCAGGACTAGGTTTGGTCACGAGAGTCAGTATGCTATCAAAGAAAGAGTCTAGGAGTAGAGCTCAGGAGACCTGGTCACTGACCATGTGACCTTTTGTCTTGCTGGGCCTCTGTTTTGTCATCTGTATAATGAGGAAATTAGATTAAATTTTTGGGATTCCTTTCAAATTTAACATTCTATGGTTCTTTTATAGTAGTGTGTTCATGGAAGGATCTAGAGCTATGGATAATGCTGAGATTGTTACTACTATGGATCAGTTAGTTAGGTTGTCATGGCACAGCAGTGTTTGTCATTTCTTTGTGTGTATTTTTAAAATAAATTTTTGTTGATTTATTTTGTCTTTTACATCACCAAAGTTTCACTTAATGTCCCTCCTTACCATTCCCAGAGAGTCCTCGTGTAACAAGTAGTATTTTAAGGGAAAAAGAAGAAAAAGCCAGTAAAATGAATCAATATAGCCAAAAAAAAAAAATGGTCTGAAAATATGTGCTATGTACCAAGTACATGAACCTCCAGTCTCTGCAAAGGTGTGGGGAAGGGGGTATCTTCTCATATTTCTTCTTTAGACCCATGTTTGTTCTTTATAATTTTACAACATTCACTTCTGATTGTTTTGTGGTTATTCTTTGCATTTACATTGTTGTAGTCATTGTGTATATATGGCTTTGCTTGCTCTGCATCAGTTCATAGAAACTTTTCCATGCTTCTCTGTATTCATAAGAGCTCTTGTTTCTGACAGCATAACAGTATTCCATTTTATTCTTGTACCACAGTTTATTTGCCCATTCCCCAATTAATGAGTATCTACTCAGCACCTCCCTCCCAGGGTGGCTGTGAGGATCAAATGAGATGGTGTTTGGGGAAAAAAGCACTTAGCACAGCGCCTGCCCCACAGTTAGGCTTCATATTAATGCTCATTCCCTTCCCCTTCTACTTTCTTTGGCTGCATTCTTCATGGTAGCTTTAAATAATTCTGCTATACTGGGAACTTGCTTCCTATCAGTTGCCTCTGGTATAAGCCTGGTATTGAAGTCTGCTATCTCTAGGTTAAAGGTTAGTCACATTTTCATAATTCCCATTGCTCTCCAGAATGTTTGTACTAATTCACAGCTGCACTGATAGTATATTGTACCTCTGTTCCCACAACCCTCCAATATGGACTATCCCTGTCTTTTATCATCTTTGCCAATTTGCAGGATGTGAAGCAAAACTTCAGTTTTTATTTGCATTTTTCTTATTAGTGTTTTGAAGCATTCTTTCATATGATTGTTAATAGTTTACTGTTGTTTTAAGGAAAGTTCATATCCTTTGACCATTTATCTTTTGGGGAATGGCTTCTGGTTTGATGTTTATATACATGTGCATATGTATATATGCATGTATATGTGCTGATTGTTTATATATCTTATATTTGTATAAATCTTTATCAAAGAAATTTGATACAAAGGTTTTTTTCTGTGTGAATTTTTTTTAAATTACAGAATGCTGAAATGTACAAACTGTCATCACAACGGTTCCATGAGGCAGCTACTCAGCTGGAAGATACAATAAAGTAAGGATTTGACTTTCGTTCTTTGCAAAACTTAGCATATATTTATGAGCCTCTCACCCTGTCCCAAGTGAATATAAAGCTGTCTCTACTCCTTAATCCCAGCTGTCTAGAAGTACACAGTTGACCATCTGCCATCATTCTTCAAACTTGGGAGTTAAAATGGAAAGTGGTCATCCCTGATTGACCACATTAACTTCTTCCTCAGCTAACTTATTGGTAATTTGAGGCTTAGTTTGAATCAGAGCCCAAGATTTAGGAGAAGCTATTTTTCATTGCCCTGAAGCCTTGGTATCCACTGGCCAAGGCTGTGTTGACAGTAATAGTGGACAAGGGAGGGGAATACTGGGGCCAGCTGCCCTCCCCTCCCTACTGGGAATCCTGGTGAAATGTCAAAGTGGGGAGTAGTTTTCAGTGGGAGATGGTGCTTTGACAATTACTGGTATAACTGGTTAGGGGGCCCTTATTTTGATCATCTAGAAAATAGACACTTTGTATTCACTTAAGAGCATACATTGGCTTAGGGAATCAGATAGTACCAGCAAAAAAAAGTATGGAAGTATCCTGAGTTAGGTCAATACAATAGGGTAAAGGAATGTTCAGTAGGAAGCAGAGAGGAGGGAAGAAATTTCATTTTCATTCAGATTCATCTAGAGTCTTTCAGGGGTGGGGAACCTGCGGCCTCGAGGCTACATGTGGTCCTCTAGGTCCTCAAGTGCAGCCCTTAGAATGAATCCAAACTTCACAGAACGAATCCCCTTAATAAAAGGATTTCTTCTATAAAACTTGGACTCAGTCAAAAGGCCACACCCACGGACCTAGAAGGCCACATGTGGCCCTGAGACCACCGCTTCCCCAACCCTGGTATATCTTGTAATACACCCTGCTAATCTGGGAAAGGCTGTCTTGCCCCATAAATTTTTTCACTCTGTTTCTCTGAGAAAGACAGAGAGACCTTGGTATAGGGTTAGGGAAGGGAGAAGGTTGATATCACCCCCCTGGAGATTTCAGAGTTGTGATGGTTTTTGATCAAATCAGTGGCACATTGGTGGAACTGTTAAATTTGGTGTAATTGAAGGGAAGAAAATTCAAAAAGGTTCAGATAATTAGGAAGTAACAGAAATATTGTAAAAAAAAATGCTATTGATGAATAGCAGGTGAGAGGCCACTGGGGAGATTTGAGCAGGTGTCCACAATCTGCATATACCCAGGGGTGTTTAACAAATGGGGGAGTGGGGTGGGAATGATTGTTCAGCATTTTGATAAGGGGAAATAAACTTTTATTCCCCAGTCCCCCAAACTAGGGAAATAGCTTGAGTTTTGCTCAGGGGTAGGGAACCTGCGGCCTTGAGACCACATGCTACCCTCTAGGTCCTCAATTACAGCCCTCTGACTGAATCCCCTTAATGAAAGGATTTCTTCTGTAAAACTTGGACTCAGTCAAAAGGCTGCACCTGAGGACCTAGACGGCCACATGTGTCCTGGAGGCTGCAGGTTCCCCACCCCTGGTTTTGCTCAAAGAAGTGATTTTTAAAAGGTTGGGTGGGGTGGGGCTGGAGGAGAAAAAAGTATCCTGACAGTTGCTCTCTGGTAAGTTTAAGTCCTTCTGAAACAATAGAAAACAAAAGAAGAGAATTTCTAAATAGTTCAGTAGTGACCAGGAAAGATGAACAGCCCTGGAGGTTTTTTTGGCTTGGTTTGATTGGTGTACATAGATATTGCCAGTTGAACACTGAGAAGCAAATGAAAGGATTGATCAAACCTTGTTCTCAGTGATTTTATAATAACTTTGGATATGAGTGTCCTCAGGTGGACAGAGTCACAGTCAGCGGAAGTTGTCAATAGAGGGAGATTGTGAATGACCCTCCTTTGAGGACTATTCTACCTCGCTGTTCCCCCTACAAACACACAAACACCCAGACGGCTTTGAGGGCTAACTAAGTAGTTCTCATTTATAGTTCTAGCCTCAATTTATCCAAAGGCTGGGTGATAGGGGGAGAGCTTGGAAAGCAGTTGTATTGAAGAGACCACCAAGTGACAGAATGGAGTAATGTGATCACCAAGAAAATACAGATGCATAGAGACACAACACCCCCCAACAATGGGAGGTTGCAGTGGCAGCAGATGCTGTATTCAACACTTTGTCACTCATTACCTAGAAGAAGTAGACAGACTGAAAAAGCAAAGGAAGCCTAAAAGGCCTGGAGTGGCTTTTTAAAAGAAAAAGAAATACACACACACTCACCAACCTATGACTAAGATAACCATTCCTCTTGGAATCACACATCTTGCCACTCCCACCCTCTACCCCAAGCAGTAGAGCTTGACCTCTTGTTAACTTATGACATCCTGTTCTCTTGACATCATTAGTTTGATTTTGCTAGCAGACTTTCACACATCCTTACAACTTCTGAAGGTGCTGTGTGGAAGATTATTTTTTTAGATGCAAATTAATAATAAAATTAAGTTTTTGTTTTGAGAATTTTGTGATATGCCTTGACATAACTGGAGATATTTGGGGTAACTGAAAAGCTGGGCTTGGGAGTTACTGCTGTAGAAAGAGTCATGGGCAGATCTGTTCTGAATGCAGGTGATCAAGAGGAGAGGGCACCTGGATGTTTGTTAAGCATTTGCCCTTTCTTATTCCTTTCTCAAATGTTCTCCAAAACCTGAACCCTGAATCCTTTAGCCACTTTGAGATTCCTAGAGCTACCTAGGAATTCAGACTGGTCTAGAAAGCACAGTTGCACTACCTAGAGGGTGTGAATATAATGAGAGAGATAGGGATGGGGAGGGATATAGATCCTCTCTAAAGTCCCAGGAAATGATAGTTTAGATAGAAAACCCTCCAAATGGTCCCAGAGTCAGCCTGTTGCCCTGAATGTTCCCTGAGCTTTCTATGCTGGCTTATCCCTCCATGTGTCCCAGGGGCCCCTGGTCCCAAAATTCCTCAGAGCTCCTAGATTTGCCCTAGTTGTACTGGAGCACCAGTGGTACCCTTGGCTACTTTGGAGTTGCAATGCACCAAATCTGTGGGCTACTACAGCAGCTTTCTTGGTGGTCTTCTCTGCTTCTGAGCTCTTCTTCCTATCCTCCTGATATCCAAATCTGTTTCCGCAGCTTCCAGATTAGTCTTTCTGAAACAGTTTTCCATATGTTACAACCTCCCTATCAGCTTGACATTCCTACACAGCCTTTCATATTCTGGCCCACTTTCCCTTTCCAGATTTATGAACCACACCTTCCCCACTCCAATCCTTCACTTCCAATTAAATTGGTCTACTTGTCATCCTCTAAATTGGCCATTTGCATTCCTACCTGGATGCCTTTGCTCACACCTTGCCTTTTGCTTAGTAACAGGGTAGCCTTGCTTAAAGTACTGCCTCATCATAGACTCTTTCCTGAAATGTACCAATGATAACCCCACCCTCTGAATTCTTACAGCACTTGTCTGTGCCACTCAGTTGGTATATATATAAAATTGTGGAATTTAAGAACTAAAAGAAAGGTACCTTGGGGATCGTCATACTGCCTCCAGTTGTTTTTGTCTTTTTATATGTACCTGTAGCCTGTGCCACGATTAGATTGTAAGTCCCTTAAAGCCATTCAGACCATGCTAATTTGTACATCTTTCCATTTCCTACTAAGTCTTATGCTGCTGTCTCTTCATGTTTTGAAGATAAACATGGATTTTGGTATTGTTTTTTGTATTAATATTTTAAAGTTTTATTTCTGCCTTTTGTTTTTATACCACAGTCATTTCCTGTTATTACTATATTCCTAGTGACCCCTTCCTGATAACAAAGAAAATGTTAAGCAGCCCAATACGATAGCATATAGAATACAGCACATCAGTATTCTTCCAGCTCTGTGTGAAGAGGGATGAAAGTGTGTTTTGTCTTCTGTTTTCCTAGGCTAAGATGACCATGGGTTTTTGAAAGTTATGGCAACAGACTAATGCAAACTATTTTCAGTCCTTTCAGGCTAAAAAAACTTCAAGTATAAACTGTGCAATGAATTTATTGTAGAGTGATTCATCACTAGAGAGTTGGCTGCCAGCTGATGAATTTCTTTCTCTCTTTGCCCCTCATCTCCTTTTTTAAAAGGAAAAATAAAGGGGACTAAAAAAGGAATGAAACATAGCTGGAGTTGGATAATTCTGCATCTCAGACTTCTCCCATCCTCTCCATCCAAATCAGACCTGGATCACTGGGTTTTGCCCACTCTCATTTCATTGTAACTACTCTCTCTCTCCACTGCTGCACTCTTTTCTTTTCTCATTTTAAAAAGAAACTTTTAGTATTTATTGAGATCTTTTGTTTTATATAACCTTCATTTCCAGATACCTCTCCTTCTCTACCCAGAAAATTATTCCTTATAACAAAAAATGAAAAAGAAAGAAGAAAAAATGCAATTGAGCAAAACTAACCAACATATACAAGTCTAACAGTACATGCAATCTTCTTTCCACAAATCCCCTAAAGTGCTATAACAAAGGAATGGTGACACTTCTCATCTCTTCTTTGGGGCCAGTCTTGATTGTTATAACTCTACAGCATTCAGTTTTATTGTTTTTGTTACTGTTCTTTCCATTTGCATTCTGTAGTGCTGTGTATATTATTTTCCTGGTTCTGCTTATTTCACTTTGCATCAGTTCATATAAATCTTCCCATGCTTCTTTGTACCTTTGTATTCATCATTTCTTGTAGCACAATCGTATTCCATTCCATTCCATTTATGTCCACACTTTGTTTAACCGTTCCCCAGTCATTGAGTATCTGCTTGATTTCCAGTTCTTTACTACCACAAAAGCAGCTAAGCAGTGCAGTGGATAGAGTGCTGGTCCAGGAGGCAGGAAAACTCATCTTCCTGAGTTCAAATTTGGCCTCAGACACTTATTAGCTGTGTGACCCTGAGCAAGTCACTGAACACTGTTTGTCTCAATTCCACACCTATGAAATGAGCTGGGGAAGGAAATGGCAAACCAGTGCATCATCTTTGGG